AAAAAATTCTCTTGGCTGAGTTGGAATTACAGTTTTTTTCTCTTTATTTCTTTTACAGGGCAAAGCACTTGGACAAATGCTACTCGACTTCAAGATTAAAAATGTTCCAGATTTAAAATCTTTGACAGAATAACATTATTATTTTTATTCCATTTTGAAATTGCAATATTTTAAATAAATTTTAAAAACCAAAAGTTTTGGTGATGTTTACCATCTAAGGATTTAACTGAATCCTAATGTTCAGATACGAAAATGTTCTGAGTAATGCCAGATCTGCTACTGTGTATATCACTGGTATTTCCTGTCCGCTGCATTCGATGATGATCCTATTTATTTCCTGTGGATATAACTAAGCAATAAATTATAGAATATTTTTCCAAGAGGTAACTACTGCTGTCAAGTAAAAACTGTCTCTCTTTCTCTGCTGCTTCGTATTACAGACATAAAACTAGGAATATTTGCACATAATTATAACTATAATTATATGTTCAAACTATATGGCCACCCAGAATAAACAACAGCTGTCCACAATAATAATGGAATACTACTGGATTTGTCAAAATTAAATCTTACTACCAAAGGGTCTAGATACTGTTTTTGTGTTTATCTGGCATATTTTCTAATAACTATTTTCTTATGATAAACTAAGATGTTTGCTTGTTTGCAAGCAGACATAAAATACTGAACAGAAAAGCTTAAGTAAAGCTTAGCTATTGGATTTAACAGAAGACCTATAGTATGTACAGATAGTCCTCAACTTACAATATAGTTCATTTAGTGACTATTTGAAATTACAACAGCAGTGAAAAAAATGACATGACCATTTTTCACACTTGGGACCACTGCAGCATCCACATGGTCATGTGATTTACATTTGGATGATTGACAACTAACTGCTATTTATGCCAGTTGCAGTGTCCTGAGGTTGTGTGATCCCCTTTTGCGACCATCTGACAAGCAAAGTCAATGGAGAAACCAGATTCATTTAACAACCGTGTTACTAATTTAAGAACTGCAGCGATTCACTTTACAAATGTGGTGAGAAAAATCATTAAATGGGGCAAAACTCAACAAATTTCTCAGCAACATAAATATTGGACTCAGTTGTGGTCATAAGTTGAGGACTTCCTGTACATTATTTTAAACATTAAATTATAATAAATTATATAACATTCTTTAAACATTTTAAACATTCTTACATCTATACAGCCTCAATTATCCTCACGTACAATAATTTGAGATTAATGTAACTTTTATGAGTAATTTTATTTATATAATATATAAATGCAGATATATAGAATGTGAAAACTATCATTTAATATCCTTAAACTCACATTCTAGCAAAATTATAATTAGGATTATCCAATATAGATTAGAGTCCTACATGGAAAGTGAGATGCCAAATACACACTGAAGATCAATGATAGCCACAGCAGCCATCATGGAAACCTAAACCATTCTGTCTGAATACCTTGATAGGATAGCAGTAAGAGCCTTGGAAAAGATATTCAGATGCCATGATGTATCTTCATCTACAAAGAATAGAATTGTACAAGCAATTAGTTTTCCTATGACACTATATGGAACCAGAAGTTGGATCCTTAAGAAGCAGAATAGAAATAGTATTGATGCTTTTGAATTTTGGTATTGGAGAAGATTCTTATTAATCTTCTCCAGTACCAAAAAAGACAGATCATGCCAACATTTTATTCTTTGACAAAGTGATTAAATTAGTGGAACAGCAAAATGCTATGGACATGGTATATTTAGACTTCAGCAAGGCATTAGACAAAGTGGACTGCAACCTACTTCTTGGTAAGTTAGAAAAATATGAGATAGACAGCATCACCACCAGATGGATTTGTAACTGGATGACAAACTGTACTCAGCAAGTAGTCCTTAATGGTAGTACTTCAGCACGGAGGGAAGTAAATAGTGGAATGCCACAAAGTTCCATCTTAGGCTCAGTACTCTTCAATATCTTCATAAACAATTTAGATGAGGGAACAGAAAGGGAAACATCAAGTTTGCAGATGGCACTAACCTGGCAGGAATAGACAACACCCCAAAAGATAGGCTCAGAATCCAAATGAATCTTGACAGACTTGAACACTGGGCCCTATCTAACAAAATGAAATTTAATGTGGAAAAAAATAAGGTTTTGCACTTAGATAGGAAAAACCAAATATGCAAGTATAGATTAGGTGCAACCTGGCTCAAAAGCAGTCCCTGTGAAAGGGATCTTGAAATCCTAGTGGACAATCCCTTAAATATCCAACAATGTGCTGGAGCAGCCAAAAAAGCTAATGGAATCCTTGGCTGTACAAACAGAGGGATAGCATCAAGATTAGGTGAAATATTAGTACTACTTTATAAACCTTAGTAAGACCACATCCGGAATACGGCATCAAATTTTGGTCACCACATTATAAAAAAAAAAATGTTGAGACTTTGGAAAGAATGCAGAGAAGAACAACAGAGATGATTAGGGGCCTGGAGATTAAAACATGAAAAACAGTTGCAGAAATTGGGTATGACTCATAATGAAAATAAGGACTAGGTGTGACATGATAGCAGTGTTCCAATAATTGAGGGGCTGCCACACAAAGAACTTATTTTCCAAAGCACCAGAAGGCAAGAAACAATGGGTGGGAACTAATCAAGGAGAGAAGCAACCTAGAATTAAGGAGAAATTTCCTAACAGTGAGAACAATTAATCAGTGGAACAGCTTGCCTTCAGAAGCTGTGGGTGCTTCATCACGGCAGGCCTTTAAGAAGGGACTGGACAGCCACTTGTCTGAAATGGTCTAGGGCAGGGGTCCCCAAACCTGGCAACTTTAAGACTTGTGGACTTCAACTCCCAGAATTCTCCAGCTAGCATAGCATGAATCATTTGTCAAGCGTCCAAATTTTGATCACATGACCATGGGGAAGTCTGTGGAGATTCTCAGTCATCCAGGTCATAGTTGTCTTAAAGGTACTTTTTTCTTCCAAAGGCAACTAGACTACTTTTTTTCTTCCTCAACGAAAAAAAAAGTCCCGTTGCCCTTTCAAGAAAAAAGCACCTTTGAGATGACTATGGGGATACTGCAATGGTCATAAGTGTGAAAAACAGTTATAAGTCCCTTTTTTTCAGTGCCGTTGCAACTTCGAATGGTCACTAAATCAACTGTTGTAAGTCAAGGACAACCTGTACAAAATGGAATATTTCATCAGCCTTTACTATGCATAGAAAAACTGAGGAAGATTCCAAAGTAATAGGAGGTAGCCATTACAGCAGATACACCATTTGAAGTCTTTGAAACTCTAGTACAGTATTCTAGTCCTACCTGAAACTGAGAATTCACACTACGGCATTTTAATAGAAACATAAAACACAGTCACTGATAAAGTGTGGTATTTGTTGCTCCTCATTATGCTTCTTGTCTAGACCACATTGAAGGCCAACAACATCTTAAGAATGCTTTCATTCTTATCCTATAATAACAGACCTACATGTTATGTAACAGTTCGTTTTTCCACGTACTCTGAGATTCATATACATAAGCTATGCACATGTACCAAGCCCAGCTTGGAATCTTCTAGACCAGGGGTGTCCAACCTTGGCAACTTTAAGACTTGTGGACTTCAACTCCCAGAATTCCTCAGCCAGCGAGGAATTCTGCGAGTTGAAGTCCACAAGTCTTAAAGTTGTCAAGGTTGGACACCCCTGTTCTAGACCTTACAGAAACATTTGGTGACTGACTGCCCAACATCCACCCCTCCCCGCCAATACCACCACATACTATACGGCTAAGCATCACTTCCTCTGCTGTATTCAACCATCTAAATAAATAGCACATTCATCCTCTTCAGCTTCTCAATTTTATCCAGATTCTTATTTTCTTCTATTATCTTTTTCATCTTATTTATTTTACTGTTTATCCTCTCAGTTCTTTGGGATCAGCACAGAGTTGTGGGGTTTTTTTGTACTCCAATATATGTCTTTGGCCTTAGGGCTCAACTGGACAAATGCCAGCTCTGCAGATCTCCTTTCAGGTCATTTTATTTATTTATAAACAAATAAAATGACCAAGCGGAAATTAAACACAACTCAACATGCAACCAATTTAGGAGCCAAGACTGTTAACCTCCAATGTTTTGTGTTGTAATACCAGGTTGTATTCCTCTGGTCTATTGGAGGTTAAGAATAGAAATGAATACCTTTCATTTGACATTCATTTGTCTAGTCAGCAGTAAAATTGATGACATTCTGGATAGGCTCTTAAAAGATTCATTTAATAGGATTCAGAGTTGATAACTATATTTCTTGTAGTTACTCTTCGAGAGTCCTCTCATGCTTTGACTATAAATAATAGGTTTTTAGATGAGTACCCCCTAGATTTCTTGCTAGACAACACATTTCACGCCCAACGTCAGCCTCCAAGAATCCTTCTTCTGCTTGTCTCTTTTGGGGAGAGAAGAATAATTGGGCCTTGTGGGGGGAAGAGTGCTGGAAGACGAAGTTGGTGAATTGTAAAAGTTGGGATGCTTTCTTGATTATGCTTACTTGCTTACTGCGCAGAAATAGCCCCTTATCTCTAGGCCAAGGTCAACTGTCTTGGCATACCAGATGTGTGAAATGCCACCTGAAGATGCATCCACATGACATTATACACACCTCAGATTGGATGGCCAATTTGAACTATTGGGGGTGGGGACAGGGGATAACTTTGTACATGTGATTTTTGCGCCTATTGCCTCAGATCTTGTATTTGTTCTGATGCTACCACTTTAAATTCAGTAAAAGTCGCTTTCTCTATAACAATGGAGTCCAAGGTTTTCTTTCTTGGATTTTGAATGGAGCTACACCTGACACCCAGTTTAATAGTGTTAGATGTCATCCTCAAATATCCAAGTGGCATCTTTGATCTTCATATTTTCCCCTTACTAGTTATCAAGTACTGGCTCACTTTCAAAATATGAAGGTCTACCACATTTGTGAGTGCTTTGGTTTAACTTCATAACAAGTTGCTCTCTAGATTCCAAAGCAACTTCCATGCTTCTCAGAAACCTTTTCATCTGCAAAAAGGAGCAATTAAAATCATCCCTTGAGAAATTCATGGATGTTTTCTTTCTTTTCCAAATATATTCAATCCTAATTAAGGATTATGGATGGAAATCCATATTGGATTTCTGCTGTTGTACGTTT